CCCCAAAACCCCAAAACCCCAAAACCCCAAAACCCCAAATGTTATAGTTTTTATTGAAAATGAAGGGCAAAAACAAAGGATTCTTTGGATGCCTCCGAAGAGGCAATAAACACAGAGTTGTTAATATCTATGACAGGCAAGCTCTGATCGAGAACTTTCATAAGTTTGAAGATTGGAAAATGACAGATGAGACTTTAATCGATCTTGCGAAGAGGTTTCAAGCACACTGAACTGATGAAATGGACAAAAACCAGTTTAAATCAATGATGGGAGTAATCGGAGAGACCTACTTCGCATCTCGTATGTTCGATGTAATAGACACCGATCAGAAGGGTTCAATCAATCTTGGCGAGTACCTTGACTTCAATGACATTATGATGAACGGGACTGACGAACAAAAGAAACGGCAAAACTTTAGAATGCTTGATATTAAAGGCAAGGGTGAAATTGATTATACAAGCTTTGAGGAGTTCATCTTTAATATTATTGATATGTTCCACCAGACATTGTCCCAGAAAGTTGAGACAGAGAAGGACAGTATCAAGCACAAGTTTTATGAGATTTCACAAGGGAAGGAAGCCATTACTTACCAGGAATATTCTAAAGCTCTTGAGAAGAACCCCAGGCTATTTGATTGGTTGGAGAGACCAAAGGAAATCGTCAATGATATTATTAAGGAGACTAAATATGAGAAGGAAACTGTTGATAAGATCCTTGACTTGATATATAAGTATATTCAGGATACCAAAGAGAAGGTAAGGAAGGCTAGGAGGTATAATTCGAAGAGGCGGACCTCTTCGGTAAGGTCAATTGATAATTCAGCACATTTTGCAGATGAGCAGTAAGTTTTTTTTACCTAATCTGTACTTTTAGATTTGTAAATAGTCCTTTTCGCAAAAATAATCCCTTTATTTCTAAGAAAAAGCAATCCCAGAAAAGGCAAGCTTATGAAGAATCTGAGGATTATGATGATGGGATGGATGAAGGAGTGCCAGTGAGCAAGCACAATAATCTTGATTTTTTTAAAGAATACTTGAATAAGCCTGCTTTTAACCATCTTGCCCCATTCAGGACTCCTATGAATAAAGGAATCTCAATGATTAATGAAACTTGGAGAAGCCAGAAGTTCCTAACTGAGAATAACACATCAGATTTTTACGATAAATCCAGAGAAAAGATAGAAGTTGACTTGAGAGTAAAGTTTTCCTCTACTATTGTACTAAACTTTGGATAGAAGCATCGTTTTGAAAGCAGTAAGAACATAAAAGCTAGGAGCCAGAACCGGGCACATTATACGCCATCAAGAAGCAAGAAGAAACAGAAAGATAAGAGTTTCGATATCTCTTCAAGGTAATCCCCCCTGTTGATCTTTAGGAAGGAAGAAATAAAGGAATGCGACAGTGACCAAGAGACTGAGAAATACTGTGACAATTCTTACAGAGGTTTTGACGAAATTGATGTGGGTGAATCCCGAGTTACATACGCCCAGGAGTATAGCCTCATTTCTGACGTCTGCGACCAGATTTACGATTCTCTTTCAGAGCTTGAGACTAATATTAGGAACTGATTCCTTCCTCCTAGTAAGAATGAGGTTAGTAGCTTTAATAAGATGAGACAGTCTCTATTGAAACGGAATGAGAGAAGGAAGACTATGGTTATAAATAATGTCCCCCACCGCAAGTTCAGCAAAGCCAAGGGCGAGCCTTTGGGAGCAAAAGAAAATAGATTCATTGAGGAGGTTAAAAGGAACAACAAAGAGACAGTCAAGCTATTTGATCAAGACTTTGATAAGGTCTTTAACATCATGCTTGGGATCAATAGATCTGTATTTTGGCTGTTTGATTCTCCTTACTACAAGATCCTAGATCAGGACTTCACTGCAAAATTTGAGTACAATAACCAATGGTACTCTCAACAGGGAACAAATGTGAGAGTTTTTACATTTACTGATTATGCACCAAAAGTGTTTGAGGAATTTCGGAAAATTGATGGAATCTCAAACGAAGACTATGCCAAGGCTCTTGGTCCTTCAAATATCTTTAAGTACATTTGGAGCAACAACTTGTCAACTTTCAAAGAGCTCTGATCCACAGGAAAAAGTGGAAGTTTGTTCTATTACACTGAAGACGGTAAATACATGCTGAAGACTATCCATAAGGCTGAATTTACGAAGATGAAGGCTATTTTGAAGAAGTATTATATTCATTTGAAGGAGTGACCTAATTCCGTTATTAATAGGTTCTATGGGCTACACAAGATTAATTATGTAGAGAATGGAAAGTCTCGAGAGCAATACCTTGTCATTATGAATAACCTCTTTGGTCACTACGAAGTTGACTGCAGGTATGATCTGAAAGGAAGTTTTACAGGAAGAACAACCAAGTTCGGACCTGATGAAGAACCTGACAAAACAATAGCGCTTAAGGATAATAACTTCTTAGAGAATCATGAAGGCTTTGATATTGATCAAGAAGTCAGGAAAGAGCTGCTGAAATCTATGCGAAGAGCATCGGATTTCCTTGGAAGTTGATCTATTCTTGATTATTCAACACTTGTTGGGATCATAGATTTAAAGAAGAGGAAAGACTTGTATGATAGCCGCTTGCTGGATCCAGAAGATCCGATTTGAGAACTTTTCAAGAATAACCCTAAAGTTTCTCCCCATAGAGGATGATTCTTCAGTAAGGATAGAGAAAGACTATTTATTGTTGGAATTATTGATACCTTGACAAACTATACAACCAAAAAGAAGCTAGAATATAGGCTGAAGAAGATTAAATATGGGCACACCATGAGCTGAATTCCTCCGAAGGCATACGCAGAAAGGTTCTACAAATTTATGAGAGCAACTGTCTTCCCCAAGACCGATGAATCCTGTAGCATAAACTCTGATGAGCCATTGATTAAAAATTAGGGCTAAAGTTGATACAAAAATTTATATATTTAAGTTGACCAATTTTGTGTTAATTAGACGGGGTTTTGGGGTTTTGGGGTTTTGGGG